GTAAAGCCGGGTGTGGAGTCCCTCAGGGGCGACAGCACACGGCCAGCAATAGCCCTGGGTCCCGCCGCCACCAGCGCCCGTGCTGGTGTCTGCCCGCTCTCGCCAGGCAAACTTGTGACCCCCTTTCTGAACTGGTCCCCAGGCGCGGAAAGCGCAACCCTACAAGGGTTGAGGCCTGGGATTCCGGCTGGTAGGGACCCGCAGCTGTGCTGGCCGTAACGACAGTCCCTAATGAGCAGCCTCCGCGGCTCACCTGCTTCGGCCCTTCCTCCACCCTTGCAGCGCGGCCCATCGGAGCCCGCTAATTGCTAAAGTCTGTCGGCACAGCCTGCTACCCAGATGGAGGCGTCAGGGACAGATGGGTTCAGGCACCTAGGGGGAGCACCCAGGAGCGTCCCTAAAGCCGGTGAAGGGTGTGTTGGGGTGGGGGAGGCAGCACCAGATTCAAGACTTCCCCAGTTGGAGCTAAGCCAGATTGGGGACTGCTGGAGCTGGGGGTGGGGCTTGGTATGGTTTCTGTCAGAGACTCCGTAGGACAAGCCCGCTGCCTGGGTTTATGTTTTTCTGTGTCAGTTACTTACCTCACACAGGTCCACAGCCTGTGACACGGGATAATAGCGCTTCCTCGGAGTTACTGTGAGAAATCACAGAGCTCTGGGTGCTGGGCCCACAGTGTGTCCACTTCCTCCTCCTTCAGTCTTTTTATCTGTAGCTGCCACCTCAGCTCTGCCTCATAAATACACCTTCCTTCATTAACCTGCAGCCAGACAATGCAGCCATGTGGCAGTAACTCAGCACCTGCGAGAGAGCTGAAGTGTGTGTGTGTGTGTGTGTGTGTGTGTGTGTGTGTGCTGGGGTAGTGAGCCCTATCTAGCAAGCACCACCAGAGCCAGCCGAGCCTCCTCCTGTCTGCTTAGGATGCATCTCCACTCTGACAGGGAAGGGAGCAGCTACCCCTTTGGGAGGCTGGGTTTTTGACAGGGTGGTCATGCTAACGTACTGAGCCCCTCGCCAGCGTTGCAGGTGGATTTGGAAGCAGCAACTGCTTCTTCTGCCAACAGCCAGGCCTGATTCTGGTCCCCGTCCTAGGTCTGCAGAGATGCTGCATGACAGTTGCTGGCGTACAAGGTGTCCTGTGGCCCTTGATGTAAGGCTGTTCGTAAAGAGCTCTGATCCCTTCTGGTGCTGTGTGGGGAGGGGAAGACTTGGCACAAAAATCTGTAGCGATGGAAGGAGTTTAATGTAAGGAAGGAGGGCCTGGGTGCCTAAGATGAGCTGCAAGCAGCATCTTATTTAACGGAATTGTTTAATAGAGCTCAGGCAGACCTCTCAGCCGATTCTGCCCGAACAGGACACTTCTCTACCATGGAGTACAGGAGAGCACTGTCTGGGAGTGGGAGGTGTTCAAACAGCACTATGGGAAGGCCTGGTGGTGAAGGGAGAGCTACAGAAGAAAGACTGAATGTCCAAGGCCTGCCTGGATTACAGATGAGTTCAAGGCTAGCCTGGGCAACTTAGTAAGAACCTGTCTCAAAATAAATTAATAAGCAAGTAAATAAGTAGGTCAGTGGCAGAGCCGATTGCTCATCATTTATGAGGTTCAATCCCAGGTATCCCAAACTACAAACAAGCAAACCTTCAGCATTTTACCCACCGAGCAAAAGGAGGATGGTCTGCCTGGGTGGCTGAAGGGGCACCACATCTTCCTACAGCCACAGTAAAGGCCGCACCTCACTGGGCGGCGTGAGGCCTCTGGGCCCTGGCAATGCGTTCCTCCGCCAGCTTCATCTGCCAGCCCGATTTAAGGCTCTGTTCACGTGCTCTGGGATGTGTAAGTCCTCTGTGGCATTGAGGAACCCTGTAGTTCAAGCCTTTTCCAGGACCTGCACGGAGAGAGTGGAGAACAGGGAAAGGGGGAGCGCATCAGCTAGTGGGGTGGGTCTGCTGGCCACTGGGCTCTGGCCACTCCATCCACAGTGCAGCTCTGGGTGGAAACAGCCAGTCCCTCAGATCTTGTATCTGATGAGTTCCCTTGCCTGAGAGCTGGGGTGTCACAAGAGCCATGAAGAGGAACATGGGACAGGGCTCCCCAGAGGCTGAGGGGCTGCTCAGAACTAGAGGGGGAGGTAAAACTTGGTGACAATCTGTATGACAAATTCTTTCTGACTGGATCTTGAAGACTTCCTGACCTCAGCTTAAAGCCCACAGAAGCCAAAATGATTACTCACAGTCCTCTGGTGCCTTAGGGTAGATCAGCCACCGAGACCTCCCTCCCAACCTCCCAGCCTAGGGCCATGGGGGCAAGGAGCTGCTACCTGCTGGGTGGGAGGTCTGCTGAGCTTCTTGGTGAGCACTTGCCCAGCGGAGGCCAATGAACGGCTCAGCGGAGGGAGGGCGCAGAGCCTGGCTGGGCAACTCCTCCCTCGTTGGTGGACTGAGGGGGCTCTCAGAGCTCCCCAGGAGACTTGGGGACTGGGATGACACCGAAGACTTGATTCTTTCCTGGCAACAGTTGCCTTCTCTGCAGAAGGCCTGGGCAGGGGCTGGCGGAGCCTGGCGAAATGGAGCTTCCGATGCTGCTGCTGCCTCGGGAGTTCCAGTCTCTGCCCCTCCACGTTCTTAGCTAGGTGCTGGGGACTTCTCCCCTCCCTAGGTGTGTGTCAGCATCTGGGGGCTGGACTCAGTTTAAACAAACAGGATTAGACTCAGCTAAGCTCTGCCCTGTCTCAACAGGTTCCTCTGTCTCTTCTTCATGCCCTCCTGAATGACAAACACCTTCTAGTCTTAGGAAAAAAAGAAAAGAAAATAAATGAAAAAACAAACAAACAAACAAACAAACGAGGCCCTATGTGATAAGCTGGGCGGGGCTACAGCACCCCAGCTCTGACAGCCCGCAGTTCTGACTAGCAGACAGGAGGTACCACGTTGGAGGACGGAGACTTGCCTGTTTCAGAGCTAACTGATGTCCCACAGAAGGGTCCACCCTCACTCAGGCCTCGGAGACAGACTCCTGAATGGGCTGGACTCCCAGGAACCAAACAAACCAACCCCAACAACAAGAAGGAGATTTTCTAATTCCAAGTCTAGATAGGTTCTGCTAGTGGCCACCGGAGGGGTCTGCAGTGTGGCATCAGCTAAGGGCCAGCCACACCTGCCTCAAGTTTCATCCGGGAAACTGAAGCTTTTACATTTTTCTGTCTAGAACCTCTCTTGAGAGGAAAACCGTAATCTGCACCGCAGTTTACCCGCAGATTCCAAGAAAGGCAGAGTGCGTGAGAAGACAGCCCTGGTCTTCCGGGAAGGTCCACAGGCTCCCGGGACGCAGCCCTAAGGCCAGTGAGGTTCCCGGCGGCCGCACTTCAGGAAAGCAAGTGTGGAGAAAGGACTGAAGGGTTAGTGAGTCCTCATCAAAGAGCTTTGCACAAAACGCCCCAAGAGCTGGGCTCGCGGCTGAAGCCAAGAAACTGGCGAGTGGAGGCCGGCGAACGCCCTTGAGCACCGGAAGAAATAAAACCGTGGCTGAAGAGGGTATTGTCGGAGCTCCCAGAACCTCGGCAGAGGCTCGGTCCCCGGACCTGGAGGCCCAGAGTTCCCCCACTTCCGGAAAGAAAATTTATTCCTGAAGTAGCTCAACTTTCAAACGAAGGGAAGAGGAGTTTCCAGGTGGGTGGGAGAAATTTGAAAGCACAGGAAAGCTGTGATCCATGAGTGCCCTTTTAAAGAACGCATGTTCCAGGGCGGGGGAGGTGGTAAAAATCCCTTCCTTTCTTAGCTTACCAGGCGAAGCCAGCAAACCAGCCACAAATCCGTCCCAGAGGACCCCCTGTCCCCAGCGTCTCCGCGTCCCTCCCCGCGACCCCCTCACACAGCCCGAAAACAGCCGGCTGACTTTAAATTTTATTTAAAATCTCAGCACTCCATCATTTGTTTCGTTTTATGCAACCAAACAAGTAATAAATATTATTTAGCACTTCTTTTTCTTTACAAAAATAAAACAGGCGATAGACAGACTCTGCAGGAGCGGCGCGGGAGAGGTGGGGTGTTCGAGGCCGGCGTGGGAGGCCGGCGTGGTGAAGCAGGTCGCGCCGGGAGCGCCGAAGGAGTTCGCCACTTGTGTTAACACGGCGGGGAGGGGGGGGGGGTCGACGACACAGACGGCTTATCGGGAGGGGCTGGCAGTCACGTGAACAAAGAGCGCAGCCTCGCGCACTTCATTGATATTATATTTACACACACAGTATTAAAAAACAGACCCCCCTCCCAAATAACTCAAACTATACTTCCCATCAAGTTTTTTGATGTTCTGCCAATCCCTCAGGCACCAAAGCTGTCCCCAATCGGCTAAGAAACCAAATTACCTTGTGCTTAGACAGGGCTGGGGTTGGCGGTTCTATTTAAAAAAAAGATCTGAGAAGCATCCCGCCCCATGTCGGTAGTTTGGGATCTTTCCACAAGTGCTTCTATTCTGAGCGTCTGTAAAGCGTGCTCGGTGGCCTGAACGGGACACTCGCAGAGTTGTTAGCAAACCGCGAATCAACAGGGGGAAGGCCACACCTCTGAGGCCACACGGGTGTCGCAGTGAAGGAAATGAGCGACCCCAGGTGCTCCGGGTGCCCACGCCAGCCTGATGCCCTGGCCCGGGCCGGGGTGCGCCTGCGGGCACGAGGCCGTCGCTCCTCACCGCCCGGGGCTCTGCCTAAGGCGAGACCGGGAGTCGACGGGGCTCACGGAAAAGTCAGTCTGTAGACTCTTCCTGCGGGCGCAGGGAGAAGTCCCGGCGACGGAGGGGGCGGGTTGGTACGGTCTCAGCGTCCCGCCGGGGTCGACCGGGTTCTGGAGCGAGGGCGCCCTTCCCCACTGCTCCAAAGGCCCCTCCGCTCCCAGACGCCGGGCTCCCCGGACCCCCCCAGGCCCACGGTTCAGCTCCCCGCGGGCAGCAGAGCCGCCGAGCGGCGCGGGCCTGTCCTAGCTGCTCCGCAGCCCTCGGCCCTCCGGCCGGCTCACTTGGCGTCGGAGGTGAGGCGCGGCAGGCTGCCGGCGCCCATGGCCGACACGTGGTGGTGCGGAGGCGGCACCTGGCACATGCTGCAGGGGCACGGCATGCCGCCCCAGTGCTGGAAGCCGCCGCCGCCGCCGCCCCCGCCGCCGCCCCCGAGCGGGGCGGCCGCGGCGGCCGCCGGGGACTTGAGCAGGCCGT